CCCCCCCCCCCCCCCGTGCTGCCCATTGCTCCCATTCCGCCGTACGTTCCGCGGTGGTGGGGGTGTGGGGTGGCGGGCATGGGGGTGACCGGTGTGGGTAACCTGAAACTCCTCCTCCTCCGTCTCCCACTGCTGCAGCTGCCGCTGAGGGGGGTGGGTGTGTGGGAGCCGAGGGTTTAGGGTTTAAGGGGGGTGCCGTGGGAGTGGAGCTAGGGTTTCAGCAGGGGGTGTGTGTAGGGGGGTGTGGGACAGTTGGGGAAGGTTGAGTGGAGGCAGCCGTCGTGTCGTCCGCAGCGCCTGTATTCCGGGGCCCTTGTCGCCGGTAGCTCAGAGAGCCTGCTGCACCTGTTGCCCGTGGGTCCGTTGCTCCTGCCGCTCGTCGCAGCCGCAGAGCCTGTTACTCCTGTATTCCGGGGCGCACTGTCTCGGTAGCCACTGAGAGCCTGCTGCACCAGTAGCCCGTGGGTCCGTTGCTTCTGCCGCTCGTCGTAGCCGCAGAGCCTGTTACTCCTGTATTCCGGGGCGCACTGTCTCGGTAGCCACTGTGTCAGCCGCCATTGTGTCAGCCGCTCCTGTTGCCCGTGTGTCTGCAGCTTCAGTCGTCGCCTCCCATCTTCTCTCCTCTCGCCAGCCCTCCTCCTCCTCACTTGCCCGCTGTGACTACCACTAGCTTTGCTCATATTTATGAACTATTGCTATGACTGCTCATTGTGCTGATTACACCCCACTTTGGCTATGGGGGTGTGTCAGAATATGTTGTTTGTGTAGCTCGCAGTGGGGTACTCAATAGTGAGTACAGCCCCTTAGGGTTTGCTATTTGTATCCTGCTGCTTGCTAGTTCAATCATTCCCTTCTCAATTCTGTTCGTGCACACAATTCTCGCTCGTACTTGGCGCCTCCCTTCGTAGTCCTACTGTGGCCTAGGCTACTGAGCCTATGCCGTACTCTTACTATACTTGACATAAACGCCATCATTGATGGAAAGGCGACACCATGCTGTTCATCCATAGAGCCATTAACGGGAAACAGGATGTCTCCTGTGAAGTATTTTCATATCTGTGCTGCTTCCATCATAAGTTCAAACTCGAAACTTCGGACGAAGAAGTTCTTTCCGTCAAAGAGTCTTGAAGTCTGAAACTTCAAGATGTTTAGCATCTGCGCTTGATAATTTGTTGCGTCTCTCACTCCAAACCCATCTCCATCCTATAGCTGTTTTGGTTGTTGTTGCTGTTGCGTAGGGGCACTACGAGGCACGAGCACGTAGGTAATCCGCAGTTATTGTCGAGGCGGAGCATGGTAAGACATCAATTGTTGTCTTATGTGTATGATGTCTCGTCAACTCTCATAGGTGACGTTCCCATGTTTACTGTTGGAGAAGGGCTTGTGGTAAGACATCAATTGTTGTCTTCTGTGTATGATGTCTCGTCAACCCTCATAGGTGCCGTTCTCATAGGTGCAAAGATTTAACCTGAGGAACCGATGGTGCGATCATGGTAATCACTAAGCCGATGATGCTTGTGGTACTTGCCCATCTTCTGCTACCGACAGACTGGTACATTAGTCCGTCATTCCATGTCAGTAAACTACGCCCATACATCGCAACAATGAGCCAACTACCATGCCTTTGCCCATACGTCCTGCATCAGATGATTGAGTTCCTCATTCGCTGGAATGACTTCACCCCCATAGAGGATAGATAGGTACCCCTGGCCAACAACGAAGCCCTGCCCTGCAAGTGTACGTGCGACGCCGGGGATTCCGCTATATACATGCACTCGCTTAGCAGAGGGGCTTCTTGAGGGTGGGGAGGAGGGGGGAAGGGGGGGGGGGGGGGGGGAAGGAGGGGGGGAAGAGAGGGTGGGTGGTAGTGTAAGGAGTTGTTTGGCATTCCTTACCGCGCCGCTCAGCATCGCGTCGGTAGTAGTATCGTAGCATCACTATATATGTATGTTGGGGGGTAGAAAGAAGCCCAGAGTCTGAAACACACTCGTATCGGTGATCTGCTGGACGGTGAGGAAGATGGATTTGCGGTGGTAAAATCCATGGCGGTTCTGAAGCAGGAGCTGGGAGGTAACGGGCCGGCCAAGCTAGCGATGAAGGCGCTGCTAGCGTCCCTGTCCCACTGGCAAAAACTTCTGTGCTTCCCTACTGCACCTCCACGCTCGGCTGGCTCTCTTCTGCGTGTTCCAATTCTGGAAGGAGGGCGGGTGGTATCCATTAGGAAGATGAAGGATGGATGGAAGGGGACGTCCGGGCCAATCATACAAGCAGCAGAAGTGGGGTGTGCGGTGGGGACACCACACTGATTGGAAGCGGGTGGTGATGACTCGGAACTCCTTGGCTATTCCTAGCCGTCCAAGGGATGTCCTCATCTGCATCCACGGCTTGAAACTGCAGGTGGGGGAAAGATTGGCTTTCCTCAGCACCAAGCCGACATGCCCATACTGCGGGGAATAAGAGACGTTGGAACACTGCCTCATCCTGTGCCCCAGGATACAAGCAATGACCTTGACTCTTCGGCGCGCTCTACGCATGCTGAACCCCAGCCGCCCAACTGCCTCGCTGGGAGATATTCTGTTCCGGAAAATGGGTATCAGGTCAGCATTTCCAGAGGTGACCCTCACGTCGGTGGTCCTCCACCAAGTCTGGCTGGAGAGGTGTGATGCAGTTTTCGGGGGCAAAAATTTCAGACAAAATGTGTACTGTGGAAGGCGGAGGCTGCTTTCAGGCTACATGCGAAGATATACATGCACAAAATGGGGGCATTACGAAAGAAGCGGCCCCGGGAAAAATTCGTGGAGGAGCAGAAAATATTGAGCAAGATCAAGATGGATGGCAGAAGCTGGACATGGAGGCCTGCTTTCACTGCGTTATGGTCCACGCAAAGGGCATGCAACAACTCGCCCTAGACAGTTTCACCTGGAACAGTAGATAGGCTGCTGTCCCTCACGCACGGTTACGACCGTTTGATGGTATATGCTTGCCTGTATTGGTATACACTATCAATGATAAAAGTAAAAAAAACTATATATTTATGTTACTGTAGCATGTGTCCCTTCGCGAGTGTTACATGTAGTAGCGCGAACAGTCTCGTGACTGTCCGCGTGACACAGGAAGTACCATTTCAGAAGTCAACTCGACAAAAGCTCTTTTTACGAATTGGTACACATTTGCATAGGTACTTTGCTAGACAATAAACATCGTGTGTCCTCTTTTTACTAATAAATCTTGTTCTCACTCTCAACGAGCACAGGAATTTAAGTCTTTCGTTCCATTACATTACAAGGACTAGACTCTGGTAGATCCTAAGGCCCTTTCTTAGTTCAACATGGTATGAGGGCAGGAGAGTTTACGATCTCCTAGTTCCTACTGTTCTCAGTTACTAAAGTTTTCATCAATCGGAATATCTTACAATCATGACGGACAGCAACAACGATAAACCCCGCTTGCAAAGTGGCAGTGGTAGTTTGTAGCAGCCCACTGCACCACCACTACCTGGCTTTGGTTCCTCAGGTTTGAACTTTGTGAGCCCTTCTCCAACAGCTATATCTGCAACTGTATTTCTGGCCAATGGTGGCACACTTCATGCCAGCACATGTATTGTCGTGGCTTAAATTTCGGTTTTGACAGTTGGCAATCGGGAATCTTGAATTACAGGAAAGGGGGGGTGGGGAGGGGGGGAGTCGGTGGTACTCGCTTCATTGTAAAACTCGCTAAGAAGAACCGTAACCATGGGGCGACAGTGTGTTTTAAACATAAACCCTGGCATATAAAAAACAACCTAGCTCCTGAAATAATCAACCTAAGGCATCAGTGTTACTATAAATAACTACCTTGATATTCAGGGTATTGTAATGTTGTGTAGGCTGTAGTGGGGTAGACTATACTGAGTACAACCCATTAGGGTTATTGTCAGAATCCAAGCCACTAACCACTGGTATGAAAGGGCTTGTTTGTGTAGCGGGTGAGTGCGCCCATAACCCCCCAGACCAACGTGCCTGTAACCCTTCCCTAGGATCAATCGGGGATCACTTCCCTACCCTCTCACCATCTTCTCACCACCACTCTCAGCTTGGCAGACTTGGCAAAAACCTCAAGGGGCGTCACTAATAACGTGGATCACTTCCCTACCCTCTCACCATCTTCTCACCACCCTCCCATCACCCCCTCACCACCCCCTCACTACCCTTGCTTCCACTCCCTCTGTCGCCTTCATCCCCATCCTTCCACTGACCGTGCTTCTCACAATGCCACTCACCGTGCCACTCACCGTGCCACTCACCTTGCCACTCACCGTGCCACTCAACGTGCCACTCACCGTGCCACTCACCGTGCCACTCACCGTGCCACTCACCGTGCCACTCACCGTGCCACTCACCGTGCCCCTCACCGTGCCACTCACCTTGCCACTCACCTTGCCACTGGTCGTCCCACACTTCTTGCTGTTGGTCCTGCCGGGGCATGTGAGCTTGTGGGAGGGCCAGTGCGCCTTTTGGCACTCTCTGCTGCAATACGCCACCTTGCCACATGCAGAACAGTTCTTCAGCTTCACACCACCACCCTCAATCTTCCCGCACCCCACAGCACCGCACACACGCCCCCCACAAGCAGCAGTAGTGGTGGTTGGAGCAGGGGAGGCAGGGCGGTAGCACGGCTCCCCCAGCAGCATCTCTCGCAGACATGCCACCAAATTCACTCCCCACGGCCATGCCCTCATATAGGCCGCCTCCTCCCCCTCCTTGCCCTTCTGCTTGCTATGGATGCTGCTGCTGCTGCCACATGCACTGGGAATCCCATCCGCGTGTTCCGTGTCGTCACGGCACCTGGGTAGCAGAGAGCGCTCATAAATCGCCGCCATGGCGTCCATGCGTGCACTCGCACTACGCTCCTTCGCCTCACTGCCGCTGCACGCCACCCCGCCACCCCCAACACCAGCAACGGGCAGTGTTGCCACCATGGACCAGGACTGCACCTCCTCCAACACAACCCCGCAATCCCCTTCACCCTCCCCGCCCTCCTTGCCCTTCCCACAGGCTCCACTGCCTGCCTTCCTCCCCCCTGCTTTCTCTTTGGCCCCACAACTCCCCCCTCCACCCCTCGGATTCCACCCGCGTTCTGTGCTGCTCTGCTGCAGGAGAGGCGTGGCACACAGCAGCGCCAGGCTGAGCAGCAGGGCGACTGGCACCTGCTCTGCCCGTTCCCGTAGCGCCGCAACACTGCTGCTGCTGCTGCTTCTCCGCTTGCCAGAAGGGCCGACTGGCAGATCTTCCAGGCCAGAGGCGGGCGAGAAGGTTTTTAAACTGCTCCGAGTGGGGCGGGAAGATGGAGAGAAAGGAGTCGAGGAGTATGAAGGTGACAAAGGGGACGTATGAGATGTAGGTGCAGATGCAGCGGCTACAGTGCGCGCATGCGGGTGCCTCCAGGAACAAACCGGCGAACTCCACCAGCAAGTCCGCATCCGCCCTGCACTGCACGATTGAACGGCACTCCCTGCTCCGCGGTGACGACACTTGTTTCGTGGGCGATTCTTGCACGCTTCCATGCTGAGTTGTCTCACACCCACCGTTCCTGCCACCCTGCCTGTCATCCACCTTGCCCAGCCCAAAACATCTGGCATTGGAGTCGTCGGGAAATACCACAGCAGCTTCGTCCCCCTCAGGCCACTCCTCCCATTCTGCGAGGGGGCTGCTTCCATCCAGAGGCGGGAGAACAGCGCCGAACCGGACCAGCAGGCTTGGAAGATCCCGAATCGGGTGGCGCATGGGCAGGACCTTGCCCTGTGAGTTCTCTTTGAAACACATCTTGGCTGAGATGAAGTCTGAGCCGTAGATCCGAAGCCACTGCAAGATGCGGGCAACCCGGTATGTGAGGAGGCCAACAGCGGGGTCTGTGTTGACGGGCTCACGGCCCCAATCCAACGCCCCGCTGCCAGCGTGACGCACCGCACTGCTGCCGATGGAAGCGCTGCTGCCAGGAGAAGTGCTGGCTCGAGCACTGAGAGTTGGTGGCCCCGATGCTGCTGCGTCCACTCCTCCTCCTGCTGCCCCTCCCTCCTTCACCCCTGTCGCAAGCCCTCGCTTCCTCAGTTTCTCCCTGGCCGCCTCAATGGCTGCATCCTGCACAGTGCTGCTGGCGCGCTTAGACCCCCCAAAGAACATGGCGCCGAGCTTGCAGTGCTGTGGCTGTGAGAACACTGACGCCACTGCCACGGCCAACTCATTCGCACCCACGCCACTCACATACATGCCTCTCGGAATATTCTTGCCTTCTGCCCTGCTGCGGCCATGGCTACTTTTGCTGCTGCTGCTGCTGCCCTCCTCACTGCAATGGCTGCACCTGAACTCCCTCCCTTCCCCCCCACCATGCTCCAGAATCCAAGCCATGCCATCCACATACCTCTCCCACACAGGCCCCTTCAGGTTCTTCCTCCATTGCCCATCCGTGCTCTCTCTGCCACCACCATTATCACCACCGTCGTTCGCCAGAGCAGCTCCACCATCACTGGCACGGCCCAGCAGGTGGCCCAGGTCCAAGCCCAGCTCGTCCATGATGCGCGCATAGTCCTCCGGCCCCATGCACTCGCCACTCTCCACCCGCCGCCTCACCACCTCCATTGCATGCCTCATCTGCCCCATCTGCCCCGTCTGCAACATCTGACCCATCTGCCCAATCAAACCCATATGCCCCATCTGCCTCACACTTCCCAAACCCTTCTTCTCGCTTCCTCCCTTTCCCTCCCCCCGCGCTTTCTCAGCAGCCTGCTCCTCAGCTCGGCCCGTCCCTCTCTCTGCATGCGCCTTGTCGAGCCCGCCTGACAGCACGTGCTGCACGAAGAACCCAAACCCTTCCTGCAGGTCACCACGCTCCTTCACCCCCAGCACCTGCACCAGCACGGAAGCAGCGCGGTCATTCTCCTGCTGCCGGCCCGTCCCCAGCTGGCTTGCTAGAGCCGGGTAGACGGCGTCGTAGATGTCCACGTGGGCCTTCCACACGGTGTCAATGCGCGGCCACCTCACCACCAGCACGAGGAACGCTGCAAAGCTCACAGCGCGGCAGTAGGCCGCCCAGCAGCTGCTGCAGCGCCAGCAGCACGACCACGCTGCAGCAGCACAGGGGATGGCAGCAGCAGCAGATGCAACAAAAACAGACGCGGGAATCCCCAACACAAGGTGCGGTGGTGAGAACGGCAGGCAGGCGGCGTCAGATCTGATTCAGGTCCATGAGCACACCCACACGGGGCTCAGCCATCCAGTCGAGCAGCATGGCCTCCACACACACAAAGGGAGCAAGAGCGCACTTGCAGGAGAAGTGAGTCCCAGGCGATGCGCCCTCGCCCTGCTCCCCGAACGCCTGCACACGCGCCGAGTACTCCACCAGACCCTCGCTCATTCCGCGGCGCCGCGGCGCCAAGGGGGTGGCGTCGGGCAGCTGCTTGTGCAGGCGGGATTGGAGGAACGTGAGGCTCTGCATGGTCACAGCGCGCTCGTCGCCCAGGCTGAGGGCGCGGTCGAAGCAGCAGTCGCACTCCTTCAGATCCCACCCGCGCCTCACGTCCAAGTAGTGAACCATGTCCTCCCGACACACTAGCTGACGCGGCCCTGCTACTTGCTCACCGCCCCCTCTCGCTGAACCCCTGGCTTTGGCCGCAGACGCCTTGTGGGCTCCAATCGGCAGCTGCGGGAGGCCATATCGCCTCATCATCTCCGCATGACCGCGCCAAATCACCTCCTTCAGTTCCGACAGGCCTGCCCCACAGGTCCCGGCATGATTGAGGGGCTTTGACTTGCTTCCAGCGCCGCTCCCTGGCGTGACTCTGTGCCGCTGCGCACGCTTCTCGTGGTCCTGCTCGCCCTCGTCGCTGCTGGAGCCGATGTGCTCCCACTTGCTGTAGTCAATCCCACGCCGCCTCGTCCCCGCAGCACCAGGTGCAGCAGCGGGTGTCGGAGCAGCAGGTGCAGCAGCGGGTGCAGCAGCACCAGGTGCAGCAGAGGGTGTAGCAGCAGCGGGTGTAGCAGCAGTGGGTGTAGCAGCAGCGAGAGCAGCAGGAGGAGGAAGAGGAGTGGTAGCCACAGCAGGAACCGCGGCAGCAAGTGGGGCGACGGCGGAAGAAGCAGCTAGAAAAGCCGGACTGACGTCCTCAGCAGGCGGAGGAGCTGGAGCACTCACACCCTCTTGACCTCCGTCCTTGCTCGATCTCTCGCCCTCTCCACGCACTGCCTTCACGGGAAGCACCTTGATGGTGGCGCCCGGCTTGAGCTGCGCGTGCTGCACGGTGCAGTGGGGCGACAGGTACATCACCTGCCCCACCACCACCGCACCGCCTGTGACCCACGCACCGCCGACTCGTCACTTTCCTCACCGCCTTCCACGCCGTCGTTGCCTCCCTGCTGCACGCACGCTGCCTCGCTCGGAGGCTCCGCGGTTCCTCGCGGAGCGTGGTGTGCATCGCACGGCAGACAGCAATCGGGCAGGTGTGAGCGGAACAGTCTGTTGAACACCGATCGGAGAGACTCCTCAGGCGAGGCGGCGACGTGGACGTCCACGTGGGACGATACCGATGGATTATCGCCACATCGGCTGCCACTGCTGTGATTGTCGTCGGCGGATCCGCGCCGGGGAACCAAGCCTCTGGGAATCCGAAACCGAATCTCAAGAGCCATACTTGCACCCGAGGTAACGTCGAATGAAATTAATCACCGGATCACTAATTAAAAGTGAAGTCGCTCTGTTCGCCGTCATATGTGCCTGGCCTTTGCTGTGGAATGCTGTCATCAGCTCAGCTGAATGGGTACTAGGAATCAACTCAAATTCGCTCCGCTCCAACACATCAAGATGTACATGGAACCTTTCCGCAATTGCATGTGTCGCAGTTTCGCGCGCCAAACAACATGGCGAAAAAAACTTCCTTTTATTGCGGAACCGGTTACTATGGTAACGGGCTATCTCTTCCTAAACATTAAGTGACTGTTATGAGTTGTACTGATCAGAGTGCGTGGAAGCCTTTATAATGTGATTCCAAAATGAAGAAACAAATAAGAGAGCGAGCAAATATAGGGCGGAAGCATGCTAGGCGAGGACCTCGGAACGTGCATGGGTAGGGATTGTCACGATTGGTGCGGGGCGTCTCGGAATGTAGTTCGGGCCGAAATGTAGGCCTGACTCAAGCTGACTCGAACTGTTCGAGCTGTCATCGCTAGCAGCAGACTCTACAATAATGATTTCTCAATCACTACACTCTCCAAAAAAAAAGAAGTCCTCCTTCCAGAACTTCGATTGAAACTGATCTGACGGTGCAGAGAAGCGATGAGCGTCGAGCTAACGCGTCTGACCAAATGACCAAGCGAATTTGAAAGCGTTTGGAATGTCAGTCGTTGATCTTCATGTTTTCGATCTGACAATCGCGATTGCAGAGGTGAACTAAATCCGTGATTGAATTGAAGTCATTGATGTAGCGAATCCAAATCAGACGATAGTAACGCTGGCGATGTTGGCAGGAATTTTGACAGGATGCCAGATGTCGGGAATCAACGTCCGTCGATGTCGATGAAGCAATCGCGAGCGTCCGTCGTGCTGCCAGAGTCTGACGAAAATTGTCAGAAATTACCAATTGAGTACAGTACCAAAGCACTCTCTTTTCCCCCCTTAAAGAAGAGGGTAGACCACCTATGTAGTACAGCCGTGCGGGCACGAAACTCCAACCACCCTGGCACCGAAGGTAGTAAAAAACACCTAGTGTTACGAAACCCCGTCTGAAATTGTAGTGACTGCACGGCGAAATTGCTGTTGGACTTACCATTGTCGCAATTCTTAAATTCTCAAAGTAAGCATCGTCGATGTTCCTATAAGGAAGTCGAATGTTATCAGTCGAAAACTTTTTGTTGTCAGTCGAATGTTATCAGTCGAAAACTTTTTGTTGTCCTTTTGTAGCGACTGCCACTGCAGCACTCCAGCTGTCAGCAACCTGCAACACAAAATTTACTGTCGTTGTCTTGTTGTCGTGACAAAACCAAAATTCTCGATTGCTGCAGCATCTCCAGCTGGCAGTTTCTGCCACCCTGAACCTTCATTTTGTCGTTGGCGCGAGACGTGTTGACGCATTGTCGGTAGCGGAATTACGAACTTATCTCGAAGGAATATCTGATGTGACTCCGTATTGGGTGTAGTTCGTCATCGTAGGCCGTCACGAAAATAGAGAAGTCGTTATAGCAACTCAAGCGACGTTTGTCGAGGCGGTCGGATCACGTAACTGACATGTGCTATAAGTGAAAACTCGTTAAGAAAACTTGAACTAATGTTTTGATCACGTCAGCACCACCAGCGGCCCGCCTATGCTTTTGTCCTCATCCTCCAAAAACTCCCGGATAGAGGTGAAAAATAGCTGCAGTTCCTCCCCCTTATCATCGAAATATATTTCCAAAGTCGAACTTGAAGTGCCGATGACGTTAGCTTCCTCAGCGACGTTGTCGTGATTCGCCGAGAATCTCCGGGTAGGGCGAAAACAGCTGTCACCTTTTCCCCCCACCTCTTGCAGAATATCTCCAGGTGTAGTCACTGGTACCCCCAACAGGTTCCAAAATATACGGCGATTTTTCTTCGTTACGGTTTCTTCGCGTGCTTAGTCAAGCGCCGCTTCAACTCGCCATGGGCACGGATATGTCGGCTTCACCACCGACTCCGTTAGATCTTCTCCTCTGAAGCGCTCGTGACACCTGCAAATGTTTGAAATCAAAACACACCACTTTTTTTTTTTTCACTTGCAGGTTGCCCTCCGAAAGAACTGGTGCATCTAGCATGCCCACCCGTCGCCATTTTTTAGTAATTCACCAAGACGAGGTGCTCTGTCGTATGGGAACCTAGAGCTTTGGGTCTCCCGGGATCGAATTTAACGGAACCTAGCCCGCATCAATGCCGCTATCGCAGCTGAACTTTCCCAGATAACTTCGAAGTACCATGCAAATCTTATGGTGAGTAGACGTTCACCCGTCCCCCACCGTCAATTCTTTTGTTTCATCCCTCAAGCCACTGTTCACCCAGCAGCTGATTTTGTCGGACGAGGTTTAAATTAATGCTGGCCGCGATTCTTATGACATCGAAGAAGGCGCGAATTCTGTCAAACATATATATCTGTTATATGTTGTAGTTATTGGTAGGCTGTAGTGGGGTAGATACTATGGGGTATAACCCCTTAGGGTTTACTACTTGTAAAATTATCTCGATAGTTCAATCACACTTGTCCCTTACTCCTAACATGGTATTAAGAGCAATTAGGTCCTTAGGACCGCTTTAGGACCGCGTTTAAGGGCCCACCAACCGCTTCCGCCGGTTACCACCCTACCCCGCGCCCTACCCTACGTCGCTTAGCCGTGCGCGTAGCCTCTGCTGGCCAGCGCGCCGCTCGCTAGCACCCCGCGCGTCGCCTCTGCTGGCCAACGTGCCGCCCGCTAGCAGCCCGTGCGACTCGCCCGCTGCCTGCGCAGCCCGTGCGCAGCCCCTGCAGGCCCGCGCGCCGCCCGCGAGCTCCGTCGTGCAGCCCCGCAGCCCCGCACACCGCCCTCCCTACTGCCGTGGCTGTTTACTGCACCCACGCGACGCCCGTCGCCCTGCCCCGCAGCCCCGTGCGCCGCCCGCCGTGCTGTCGTGGCTGCGTGCTGCACCTGCGCGCCGTCCGTTGCGCTCCCTCGTAGCCCAGTGCACAGCCCGCCCTGCTAAAGCGGCTGCCTCCTGCACCCGCGCGCCGCCCTTCACGCTGCCCTGCAGCCCCGTGCGCCGCCCTCCCTGCTGCCGCAGCCGCCCGCCACACTCTGCGCGCGACCTGCCCTGCAGCCCTGCCGGCCGCCTGTAGCCCCGTGCACCGCCTGCCTCTGCCGCGGCTGCCTCCTACGCTTTAGCGCGCCGCTCCTGCCTCTTGCTTTCTATTGCTCTGCCTGCTAGTCTTACACCGGCAGCTATGGCCACCCTCCGCGTTCTCTCATTCGATGCTCAGGGCCGCCCGATTGAGTTCGAACCCTGGCTAGATGATCTGCACCTGTTCTTAATGAGCGATAGCAAAGACAACGTTTCGCTTTTCGACCACACGTCTGGTGCATCCGTCGCCCCTGCTGCTGCAGCTGAGCTGAGCGTCCGTTCCGAGTGGCAGACTCGTGATGCTGCTGCCCGCCTAGCCATTCGCAACCACCTACCGCTAGCCGAACTCAAGCATTTTGGCGAGCACAAAACCGCCAAGGCCTTGTACGACGCTGTAGTTGCTCGATACTCCTCCCCTGCCACTGCTGAGCTTAGCCGCCTCATGCTGCCGTACCTGTTTCCTGAGCTGTCCACATTTCCCACCGTTGCCGATCTCATCACCCACCTTCGCACTAGTGACACTCGCCTTCGCGCCGCCCTCCCCAGAGAGTTCTGTGCTAAGAACCCGCCTCCGATGTACTGGACCCTCCACTTCATAGTCACCCGTCTCCCTGACTCGCTTAGCTCGGTCAGGGACCACTTTCTCGCTCGCTGTCCCACCGAACTCATTGTCGACCTCCTCGAGGAGCAACTCCTTGCAGCAGAGAAGAGTATAGTCGCTGTAGCTACTGCTCGTGGCGCTCCTCGCTCTCCCATCTTTGAGGGGTGCTCTCCCTCTCCCCTCGCCCCCTCCTTCGCTACTGCTGCTGCTGTTGACTTCCTTGGTGCTGAGTCTGCAGGTGCTGCTTCTGCTCCTG